ACATGTGACTTATGGGATACTAGACAGTTGACTTATGGGATACTAGATAGTTATGTGATACTAGACAGTTGACTTATGGGATACTAGACAGCTGACTTATGTGATACTAGACAGGTGACTTAGGGATACTAGAAAGTTGACTTATGAGATACTAAACAGGTGACTTATGGGATACTAGACATGTGACTTATGGGATACTAGACAGTTGACCTATGGGATACTAGACAGGTGACTTATGGGATACCAGCCAACCGACGACACAAGCCTCGTGGCCATGAAACGGATCCGTCAATCTACGACCAGATTTGAATGCGCCTCAAGAATCGGACGCCCCCCCCCCCCCCCACACCCCTGTCTGCAGGAGTACCTGACAGTGACCGGACGTCCTGAGGGTCAGCACGAGTCATTATCCTCATTTTGTCGGCAGTGTTGGGCGGCGATTCGATCTTGTTTACTTTACACATTTAATACCCCTAAGTGGGCGTGGCCGAGGGGGACGGTGGACGGGGAGTCAAACGGGCTGGAAGTAGAAAAAATATCCGGCCGTTTAGCCGTGGCGCCAAACGGTGATGGGTACTGAAGTTTGCTGAGGCGATACTGGTACTGATACTGAGGCTGACGGATAGGGGCATCGAGGGGGGTGAGGTTTAATCATTTGGCTCGGGAATTATCGTTTGACGCGGCTGTCCCCCCACCCACAGGCGGATCTCGCGACTCTGATGGAGCCGAGTTAAAAGGTTGGGTTCTGTTCCAAATATCTCCTCGCGTCATTGTTCCCCTGTCCAGCGGTAGGGATCGGGTGCATCTAGCGACAGGGCGAGGCGACGCTAGGAGAGGATAAGAAGAATTACTGCCCTTCAGAATTATCTCCCTTGGTTTCGGACGATTGAAAGAAGAAGAGCTATTTTTTTTTTTTTTTTTTTTTTTTTTTTGTAATAACCGAATCCACCCCTAACTGTGAGGCGTGGGGGGTGAAATAAAAGGCGTTGAATGAAAATGACGGGTGTGGGATTGTTCGCGATATGGTCACACCAACATGACGGTGTTTTACTGAAAAGATTTTTTTTTTATTTCCGTCTGAAATAGAGTCGAAATATTAATTAAATATTTGAGAAGTAAAAAAAAAAAAATCGTCAAAACTATTTCGTTACGTGTTTTAAGACACCCCGTGGCGGCCGGAGTCGGGTTGTTAAGATGTTCTCGGCTGATACAAAAATTATGTGTTCTGATAGGTCTGACGAGTTTAGTGTTCTTAGCTGTAAGGACAGAAACCTTATCAAAAGAATTAAACCTGATTATTTCTCTATCGTGCCTGATGTACGCGCGATAGACTGGCGGGCGACCGTAGACCCTGGCTAGAAAATGAGCCCCGCATTACAGCGTTGCCCAGATAAGTTTTATTGTCTCGCTAAAAGCTGAGGATTTGGTTTCAATAGACGTGCACTGGAGTGTGGCTAAAAGTCAGTTTAATGCTGGAAGATTAAAACTAGAAAAACACACACAGATCAAGCTGCTTGATGCCGGGGGTTGTTTGCTTATCGTTGGCTGGAATTATCAGGAGCGGTGCATTAGCTGTAGGTTTGGTGGAGGCCGGTGCGTTGTGTAGACAGACGAACAGACGACATCAAAACGTGAGGATAGTTCTGCACGCAAGACGGACGAGTGTCCAGAGGTTTTGTTCTTACGGTGTAATGGGGAAAATGTCGCCGGATTTTGAGATGCTCTGCTGCAAATGTTGCGTGGATTAACGTGGGTTATTTGTCATTAATGTTGACCGGATTATCTAAGATTAGTTTTACGTCACAGAAGATAAACAATAGAATTTCGTATTACGTAACTTTAAAAAAATGTATTTTAAGACAACTTTTTAAAAATATATTTTGACAAAAAATATATTTTAAAATGTTAATTCCTGATATTAAAGTTATAATTAATTAATACGCCATAAAATAAATTTAAATCAAATATTTTGTCTGTTCTCCTAGTTCTATAATCTAGACATAAATTCCAAAATCCATAGTTCCGTCCGTGCATCCGTTCATCCGTCCATCCGTCCATCCGTCCATCCACCCATCCACCCATCCGTCCATCCGCCCATCCACCCATCCACCCATCCACCCATCCACCCACCCACCCATCCATCCATCCATCCATCCATCCATCCATCCATCCATCCATCCATCCATCCATCCATCCATCCATCCATCCATCCACCCATCCATCCATCCATCCATCCATCCATCCATCCATCCATCCATTCATCCATCCATCCATCCATCCACCCATCCATCCATCCATCCATCCATCCATCCATCCATCCATCCATCCATCCATCCATCCATCCATCCATCCATCCATCCATCCACCCATCCACCCATCCACCCATCCACCCATCCATCCATCCATCCATCCATCCATCCATCCATCCATCCATCCATCCATCCACCCATCCATCCATCCATCCATCCATCCATCCATCCATCCATCCATTCATCCATCCATCCATCCATCCACCCATCCATCCATCCATCCATCCATCCATCCATCCATCCATCCATCCATCCATCCATCCATCCATCCATCCATCCATCCATCCATCCATCCATCCATCCATCCATCCATCCATCCATACACCCACCCACCCATCCATCCGTCCATCCATCCATCCATTCATCCACTCGCCCATCCAACCATCCATCCATCCATCCATCCATCCATCCACCCATCCATCCATCTATCCACCCACCCACCCACCCATCCATCCGTCCATCCATCCATCCATCCATCCATCCATCCGTCCATCCATCCATCCATCCATTCATCCACTCGCCCATCCAACCATCCATCCATCCACGCATGACTTGTCTTAATAAACTCAACACTTCTAAAGTCCTTAAGACGACCTCCAACTCCAATTAATCGACAGGCATTATCCCCCGCCCCCACCCCGCAACAAGTCCGGGTTCTAACCACTTCTGTGTTTAGCTATGCTTTCACAATGGATTAAAAAGGTAATTTCCTTGGAGATTAACGGATAGTCCTAAATTCTGAGCCCGCCGTCCCCTACCCCCTGTATCAACGATCTCGATTCCTATCAATCTAATCTATCGAGATTTTCCCCTCTTCCCGACCACCACATCAAAGGCACCGCTGACGTGTAATTCTTGTATCTGTGGCGCCCTTCAAAGAGTCCGGGGCTGCTATAAAAATGTCCGTAAAAATGTTTTTAAGGACTCAGCAGACGATTGATAAATCTACAAGGCAAAAGGACGGCATTATAACATCATGTAAGTTTACGAGGGGGTCGGGGAGAAGGGGGGGGGGGGGGGTCGCTAGTACAAAACTGTCTGGGGATGGATCTAAGATTCTTGCCCGTATAGGGGGAGTTATAGGTGGTGTTATAGGTTTTTTAAACGTCTGCTTCAAGTTTGATGTCATACACAGTTTTGGTAGTCTTTGGGTGAGGACAATTTTTTTTTGAAGTGGGATAACAATATAGGCCATGGCCTATATATTTATATATATATATATATATATATATATATATATATATATATATATATATATATATATATATATATATATATATATATATATATATATCGTATGGTACGGTGTGGTTTTGTTATATATTATGATCCAGGTTTAGTGGTACATGACTTAAGTCACTAATTTAGTGCTATATGACACTTGGTCAAGATATCTAGTTATGTCACTTGACTGTGTATTTTGTCTACAAGTTACGGCGAAGTCATAGTTTTGTTATTGTCATTCCATCAGTTCAAATTTATGACTTATTTAATCAATCACACGTCTAAAATAATGGTTTAAAAACTTGACAAAAGAGTATCAAGTTTCTTGTCAGGGAGTCGTAACTCCACACTTGAGAGAACAAGTTTCATTAAAAACAAATCATTCATGATACAACAAGTTCCAGAAAAAAATCGTTTTAAGAACAAGTTCCTGTTTAACAGAACAGTTTTCATTACAACAGAACAAGTTTCAATGTTACAGAACATGTTACGATGAAAAGGTTCATTGTAACACAGCATGTAACAAAACAAGTTCATATGCTACAGAACAAGTTCCAGTGCTACAAAACAAGTTCCTGATCTTTTCAAGAGAAGCCCCGCCACTAATGCAAAAAGTCCAGGGTCGAAAAGTTAAGCCCCGCCACTTGTGAACTATATCTGATGTCTAGACATTTGAATATTTTAACGCACACAATAAAAACAATTTCTTATCCGCCTCTAGGGTTGGGGTTAGGGTTTGGGTTAGTGTTAAGTTGGATTTAGAGTTAGGGTTGGGGTTGGAGTTGGGGTTAGGGTTAAAGGTACCACAATACGGACCTTTTCGTGCAAATTATAACATGTCCCATGTCACACTCTTAAATAAAATCTACAAGTCAAAGTTTCATATCCTCTTTTATAATCTGTTTTGGTAGGCGGGGGTTAACATTTTTTTGGGTCTTATCTGGACAAGATCCCAAGTTCCACAAAAACAAAAAAGTTCCGATATAACAGAAATTTCCATTGCACACACAATACGAAGGTTAAGTGTCAAAAAGTGTCTAAAAAGTTTTAGAATGCGAAAAAAAAAGTTTCAATGTGTGAAAAAAGAAATTCATTATGTGAAAAAAAAAGTTTCAATGTGTGGAAAAAGAAATTCATTATGTGAAAAAAAGTTTTAATGTGTGAAAAGTCTGAAAAAAAATCATGTGAAAAAAATTCAGTATATAGAGTTTCAGAATGTGGAAAAAAAAAAATTTTATGTGAAAAAAAATTCATTATGTGAAAAAAAAAAGTTTCAGTATGTGAAAATAAAGTTTCAGATTGTGAAAAAAAAATTCATTATGTGAAAAAATAATTTCATAATGTGAAAAAAAAGTTTCAGTATGTAAAAAAAGTTTCATTATGTGAAAAAAAAGTTTCAGTATGTGAAAAAAAAACTCATTATGTGAAAAAAAAAATTACAGTATGTGAAAAAAGTGTGCTACTGACCTCCACCCTCTCCTCCTTAAGGTCCACCTTGTTGGCCAGCTCCTCCCTCATCATAACATCCGGGTAGTGTGTCTTCTGGAACGTGTCCTCCAGTTGCTCAAGTTGCTCCTCCGTGAAGATCGTTCTGTGACGTCGCTTCCGCTTCTGGCTGCCGGCACGCGCTAGGTCTATGGGGCTCAGCAGGCTGGAGAAGGGGTGGGGGTAGGCGCCTGGAATGGTAGAGGGGTCAGGGGAGGGGAGGTTTTAGTGTTGAGTGGTCAGATGAGGGGAGGTTTTCGTGAGGGGAGGTTTTAGTGTTGAGTGGTCAGATGAGGGGAGGTTTTCGTGAGGGAAGGTTTTCGTAAGGGGAGGTTTTAGTGAAGGGAGGTTTTAGTGAGGGGAGGTATTAGTGAGGGGAGGTTTTGATGAGGGGAGGTTTTAGTGAGGGGAGGTTTTAGTGAGGGGAGGTTTTAGTGAGGGGAGGTTTTAGTGAGGGGAGGTTTTAGTGAGGGGGATTTAGTGAGGGGAGGTTTTAGTGAGGGGAGGTTTTAGTGAGGGGAGGTTTTAGTGAGGGGGGATTTAGTGAGGGGAGGTTTTAGAGAGGGGAGGTTTTAGGGAAGGGAGGTTTTAGTTAGGGGAGGTTTTAGAGAGGGGAGGTTTTAGTGAGGGGGGATTTAGTGAAGGGAGGTTTTAGTGAGGGGAGGTTTTAGTGAGGGGGATTTAGTGAGGGGAGGTTTTAGTGAGTGGAGGTTTTAGTGAGGGGAGGTTTTAGTGAGGGGAGGTTTTAGTGAGGGGAGGTTTTAGAGACCGAATGCAAGAACTTCTAAGATTCACAACAAACTTGAGAAACATAAAACATGTAGGTAGCAATCCAAAGATTTTATGTGTAAAATTTACCACTTTTTATTGCTCGAAACCACAGCAAGTGTATACACAATTTAACCCTCATTTAATTAGCATCATGGTGTAAAATTTATTTGTTCTATTGAAAAGGGAGGGTCAAGATCAGATGTTGACATCATTTATAACGTTCAGGAATATATAAATGTATTTCTTTTCTTCAAGAGTACTACGTTGTTTGTTAAAAAATGAATTGTAAAACGCATATGTGATCAACACCTTAGCTAAGAGCGTATAACTATGGTTTCTTTCGGGCATTTGTCTCAGGGAGGGTATGTAAAATTTTCTGGGAGAAGGGGGGGGGGGATTAAATCTCTGGGGGTGGGTCGGACACTCAGTTTAAGTATATATTTTTTTTAATAAAGAAAAGTTTCTATTTTGTTCGAGGGGGGGGGGGGGTGGATGTGGGTGAAGTGCCCCTCCCCCCCCTACCGGAGAGATGCCTGAAAGAAACTCTGCATATAATAGTTGTCAAAAAGCACGTATACGATATGATAAGTGTGTAAACCAAGATATATTATAGAACAATGACTAACGTGTAACATTATATGAGTTGTTTAAAAAACGCACGTCTTTCAATGTATGGGCTGATTTTTGGCAGAAATAATATATGGCTGTTGACTGCAAACCAATTCATCAGCTAGTGCTGTATGTTAGAGGATTGTATTGTTCATGTCTGATATAGATACAGATGTAATCGGTGTAATTGAATGTAATATTTACAGCTTAACTCAATACAGATGTAATCGGTGTAATTGAATGTAATATTTGCAGCTTAACTCAATACAGAAGTAATCGGTGTAATTGAATGTAATATTTGCAGCTTAACTCAATACAGATGTAATCGGTGTAATTGAATGTAATATTCACAGCTTACCTCAATACAAATGTAATCGATGTAATTGAATGTACTATTTACAGCTTAACTCAATACAAATGTAATCGATGTAATTGAATGTACTATTTACAGCTTAACTTAATACATTCGAATGTAATATTTACAGCTTACCTAATACAGATGTAATCGGTGTATTTAGTGTATTGTTCGTTGAGTGGCCTGTTTTTATCTTAACCCTAAGCTTAGCCGTTGGTAGAAGCATTAGGTAGATTATATATCACATGAATTAACCACAAACAGATTATGCACTGCATTGATTAAGGCCATACAGATTATGGACACTATTGATTGGAGCTTAATTAATAATTGAGTGAATTGGTTGAACCCAGATAGGCAGTGCCAACAGCGGTATTCACTGGGCAAGTTGCTGGGCATTGCAAATGTCTGATGTGGAGGCGGAGTGTTCAAATATTAGTGTGCTAAGTTTTTAAAAACAAGGTGTCGAATTTTTATTATCCAGAAATGGGTAAGGTCAAGGTTACCTCATCTGTAGGATGAAGGCCATTGGCATTTCTCTTAGAAATTTATTTAAATACATAATATTTTTATATATTTTTTTTATTAAAAAAAATCTCCAAGCATTAGGATCATCTACCTCTCCTCCCCCTACACCTTAACGCCCACCCCACACACCCCCGCATAGAGTACCACCTCTGCTTGCTGCTATTCTAGAACAATCCATGAGTACAGTGTCGGGGTGAATAAAGTAGCGTGTCGGCTGGGGCACATGACGTCACCTGATAATTCCGATTAGCCGTACATCAAAAGCCGGAGTAAAAGATTAAATCGGAAGATCGGAATTAAAACAGCTCTGTCAGCCAATAGGACAGGCAGAGAATAACAAAAGAGAAAATATGTTGTAGGGTCGTAGGGGCTTCTTAGTTGATGAGGATCAGCTGTAGTGGCGAGAGTGGAACATTCAAGTAACACACCATTCCCCCCCCCCCCCTTAACTTCCCCCTCACACCACTACCCACACACATAAAACGCACAACACACACACACCACTCCCACACACACCACTCTCTTCTAAATATACATCTCAACACACACACACCTCTTCCCTCTCATAAAACTCACCCACTCACCCACACATCACCCTCCTCCACATACAATTCATCGCACAAAACCACCACTCCCACACACCACTTCCCCACACACCACGCCTCCCATAAATACAATTGACCACAGTACATCCACTCCCCACACACCACTTCCACACACGCAACTCCCCTCTACATATAACTCACCACACACACCCATCGTTCTTCCCACACAGCTAACACTCCCAATACACACAACAATTACTTCCCTACACATCACTCCCCACAAACCGACCACATCGTCCACACGTATCCCTCCCCTCACACTTATCCCCCACACGTATCCCTCCCCTCACACTTATCCCCCACACGTATCCCTCCCCTCACACTTATCCCCCACACGTATCCCTCCCCTCACACTTATCCCCCACACGTATCCCTCCCCTCACACTTATCCCCCACACGTATCCCTCCCCTCACACTTATCCCCCACACGTATCCCTCCCCTCACACTTATCCCCCACACGTATCCCTCCCCTCACACTTATCCCCCACACGTATCCTCCCCTCACACTTATACCCCACACGTATCCCTCCCCTCTCACTTATCGCTCCCCCCACACTTATCGCTCCCCCCACACTTATCCCCCCCCCCCACCCACAAACACCACAGCTCACACACCGTAACTCTCCTCCCTGCCTACAATCGTTACATGACCTTTGCCCTTATCCTAAAGGACTGACACAATCACCAACTGGTTCACATCACTACATGAAGGGGGGGGGGAGGGACAGAGAGGGCAGTCATAGCTGGACCTCACATCAACATTTACAGCACCGGCCTGCATGTCTATAGCACCACAAGAAGCTCTGGCCGCTGTCCCTACTATGAGACCTCGTCAACAGAACCTACCACAACAGTCACCACATTAACAGAACCTACCACAACAGTCACCACGTCAACAGAACCTACCACAACAGTAACCACGTCAACAGAACCTACCACAACAGTCACCACAACAACAGAACCTACCACAACAGTCACTACAACAACAGCACCTACCACAACAGTCACCACAACAACAGAACCTACCACAACAGTCACCACAACAACAGAACCTACCACAACAGTCACCACAACAACAGAACCTACCACAACAGTCACCACAACAACAGAACCTACCACAACAGTCACCACAACAACAGAACCTACCACAACAGTCACTACAACAACAGAACCTACCACAACAGTCACCACAACAACAGCCCATACCACAAGTCATTTCTCTACCGTCTCCTCATATTTGGTGGTTCATAGTTTTTATGTTATTCCCAGTTTAAATCTGACTTTTGTACATCTACTTTTGGTCGCTTTTTATTGTCCTTTTATACCTAGTTTTGGTCTGACTCTTGGTGGTTTATTATTTTTTTTTTACACCCACTTAGATCTGACTCTTGTAAAACCACTTTTGGTGGTTTTTGTCATTTTATTCCTACTTTAGGTTTAAATGTTGTAAAACCATTTTTGGTCATTCATAATTGTCATTTTTATACCCAGTTTAGATCTGACTTGCGAAAACACTTTTGTGATGTAAAACATGAAACATGAGCAATATTATGTACGAAACAATGTTGGTATTATGTGCAACACAATGTTGGTATTATGTACGACACAATGTTGGTATTATGTACGATATAAAGTTGGTATTATGTACGATATAAAGTTGGTACTAAGAGCAATTGTTTGAAAGACGAGCAACATTTGTGATACACATTTTACTTCATGAATATGCCTTTTTGTGATAATGATGTTTTATGTTACAATGGTGTTTAGTCTAACGGTGTTTTTATTCTATATCAATGGTGTTTGGTGTCAACGGCGAGTGAAGATTGGGTAACACAACACACACGAGAGTAACGTAACACTTTGTGTGTAATACAACACACACGAGAGTAACGTAACACTTTGCCCCGGGGTTAACTTGATACTCCATCGATTACACTTCTCAATTAACGGTTAAGGTAAAATGACACTATCCTGTTACGTTATGATAGTCTGCTGTATTTTCTGTCAAAAAATATACATACATTATATACAGAGCATGTATATAACCAGCATACATGGGGTGCTTGACTTAAGTTAAGTCTGTTGAATGATATTCTTAATTATTCACCCCCTCCCCCCTTTTTTCACCTTACCCCCCCCCCCCCCTCTCTTACCCAGACTGTATTATCATTTCATCTAAGACCAATACTCATACTTCACTAGTTGTTATCTGTAAAACAACACACGCCGTTCTCATTCTAAACACTAAGTCGTTTTGTCAATTGCTCTTATCATAACAATGGCCGGCCTATTGTTAGTTAATTTGTTCGGCGTTTTAGAATT